ATGATAATGATAACCGTAATAAAAATGGTAATGATAATAATGATAATGACGATACTACAACTACTATTATTAATATTACTTCTGCGAACAATAAAGTGATAAAGATAGTAATAAAACAATCACATCTTAAGTAATATTTTCTCCTTTCTCCCTCTCCATCTAGTCCTCCTCCCCACCTGTCATTTTCCCCTTCCTTTCCTCCTTTTCCTCTTCGTTCCTCCTCCTCCCCTTCATCCCTTTCCACTTCCATCTCCTTGTCCTTCTCCTCCTCTCCTCTTCCCCCCTCTCCCCATTCTCCCCTCTCCCTTTCTCCCTCTTCCTCCCTTCCCCACTCACCTCCAGCCTCCCTGTGTGACCTGGCCGTAGTTCTGTCGGCCGACCTCGTCCCTGTAGATGCCGTTGCCTGTGCCGTAGGAGAAGGAGTAGCCCCCGTAGGCGTCCTGCGAGCGGTCGTCCTTCAGGATCGGGATCACGACTCTAGGGGCGTAGGGGGTGAGGGGGAAGGCCCGGGTCCCTGCTGGAAGGAGTCCTACGACTACCACCACGACGCTCTGGGGGCGGGGGGGGGGGAATCACACGGGGGAAAAGTCTACTAGTAATAATGATGATAATGATAATATCAATGATAATGATGATAATAATATTTCTAATAATAATGGTGATACAATGATAATCATATTTATTATCATTATGACAATAATGGTGATATTCATCATTATGATGGTAATAATTATATCTATTATTATTATGATAATGAAAATAATAACAATGATGAGTAATTGTGATAATAATGGTGATAAGACTGCTAATATGAACACTAATCCTACGAGAATGGTGATGGCGTGAAGTAGACGCAAAAAGGATGTGAAGGAGACAAGTTGGTTTGGAAGACATAAACGCCGGGAAAGAAACTGAACCTGTGCCACTGACAACCATTAAAGAAGAGCTAACATCTTTTCCTTACTGTACTTTTCAGTTAGGTGTAACGGAAGGGCGCTTATGTATACATCTGTCTGGTTGTATGTGTCGGTTCGAATATTCACTATGTGGTGTGTAATGTGATCTATCGAACATGTAATGACAATTACTGAATGAATATACAGGTGCTTGGGAATACCATCAAAATGGATATATTGCATGGTAATTCATTGATAGATAAAAGATATTGAGGACTTACAATAATCATGGTATTGGGTAGACATAATCATCAAAAAAGTAAAAATCTCAGATGTTGATTTTAAAAACACGAATGGAAGCAAATGATTCTCAAATTCAGCACTTGTATAGGTTTCAGTATTACACATCATCATGGAATATCTTCAGGATTATCACGAAACCTTGGTGAAAGAAGGAACATCGAATCTTTAACTCCTTTTTTGTAAGAAACAAATTCAGTCGCTCTTTTTCAACAAGAATTCCGACAAACGCGATCGACGTATTACGCAATCACTCACAAGGGCGATTCCGGCGAACTTCATTTTACTCGAGTTTTCTTCGGATTAAAGGCAGCGGAATCCTCGCAGACGAGCGATGCAACGGGCGAGTCGGTTCCTGCTTGAGGGCGATCTTGGGAGTGGATTGAAGTCGTGAGTCTCTTCCTCTTTATATATGCTGCGTGGGACGGGTGGTAATTGCAGGGAGGGGGGAGGGGGAGGCAGGGCTGAGGGGCGGGAGGGAAAGGTAAGGGTCTGTTTGAGGGGGTAGGGGGAGGGTAAAGAATGAAGGGAGACTATGGAAAGACAAATAGGAGGGAGAATGGGAAGGAGAAGGAGAAGAAAGAGAGGTTGAGAGAGAGGAGAGAAGGGGAAGGGAGTAGGGAGGACGAGAGAAGGTGGAGGGGGCGGAGAGGAAGAAAATGGAGGGGAGAATTGGGGAGGGGGAGGGGGGAGCTGCGGCAAAGAAAGGGATTTATGGCGGCATACGTCACACTAATATCTTTCTACTCCTTCCTCCTTCTCCTCCCCTTCCCTGCCCACTCCCCCATTCACACCTGCTCCAATTTCAAATTGACTTCAGCATATCACACTTCATGTATTTGTAATGAAACCGACTGGTGTGTCTACTGATTACTCGAAGTAATTCGTAATAATAAATGTATATAGACAATGATATTGATAATGATGACTTATAGTAACGATAAATGATAATAATGATGATAATCATCATCATCATTATCATCATCCTTTTTATCCTTATCATCATCAGTTTTATGATCATCAACATTATCATTACTATTGTATCATCATTATTATTATCATTGTTATTATTATTCTTAATGTTATTATTCTTATCATTAATGTTAATATTATTATTTTCATTATTGTCATCATTATTATTATGATTATGATTATCATCATCATCATTATCATATCTATTATAATTGTTGTTGTTGATATTACTATCATTATTATTATAATAATCATCTTCATTGTCATTGTTGTCATTATTACTTTTTCCATTAATATCATTATCATTGTTACTATGACTATTATTATCAATA